TTAATGACACTTTGAACCAGATAATTCTTTGTTGTGCCAGATGTCCTATGCAGTGTACCATGATTAGTAGCATTCCTGGTCTTTATACATTAGGTGCCAGTAGTATCTCCTTCCCAGTTATGACAACCAAAAATGTCTCCACGTATTTCCAAATGTCATTTGGGGGAGAAAATTGCTCTCAGTCAAGAAGCACTGAGGTAGAGGAAACTACCACTTAACAATGATAAAGTCAGGAAGAAGGCAAAAAGGAGAGGGGAAACACCTCGAATACCATAATAACAAAATTAATAGAAAATAGGGATGGATGAAGAGAAGGAAGAGGAATAGAAGAAGGGAGGAAAGAAGGGAAAAGAAAAAGGAACTGAATAAGATCGTCTTTCAGAGGAAATATAAAACTTAAAATATAGTGTGTATGATAAATGAGAACTTCTGAAATCTATTTTTGAAGTAAAGTTGTAAAGAAAAATTGAAAAATAAACTATAAAGAATTAAGGACCAAAAACACCTTACAAGAATAACGTAATATCATTGTGTGTGATAAGTTTGGAGTTTTGCTTTTTATAATGTGTATTATTTATGCCACCTACCATTAGGTTTTAGGACAGGTTACACAGGGAAAATTTACTGTGTATGACCCTATGGAACATTGTAATAAATTTAGAAAATGTCTTATGCATCACATAGGAGAAAAAGGACAAAGTGTAAGATTCACAGTTTTTTTAATATTCAATATTTTGTATTTCAACTTAAAGATGAAATATGATAATAACTAGGATTCTCTTTATCCCCAATGGGATGGACATATTCCCACTGGAGGAAAGGTATTGGAAAACTTAAAGTTGTTTAAGAAGTTAAAGGAAGCATAAGAAATTGAACAAAGGAGAGATATCATATGTAGTATCTTCTATAATCTACAACTGGATGCAGCCAAAGGAAATTCTTGTGGCAGGAAAGATTATACCTGTCCATTAGAGATAAATTCTTATTTAGTCTTTAAAGGCCTTTTATTTTAAAAATAATGCCTAAAATCAAGTATTAAAAATTATTTTAAAAATAGAAGAAAGGTTTTATATTTTTCACTACAAGGGAAGAGGAAGAAACATCATCTTTGGAACAGACAGTGAACCAGCAATGCATATACATAAGTAAGAATCTGGAAGGGGCCAGAATCGTAAACTATTATTATAAAAGCACAGGTGAGGTCAGTGCAAAGAAGCAATGACTTTGACAGTATTGGGTTATAAGAAATTGATATGCAATGCCTGTGGAAGTTTTGTTGGTTTCATGTGATGAGAGAAGAACTGTAAATATGAATCATATGTAAATATACTTTATGACAAAAATAAACTTACAAGGATCAAATGAGAGAAAGGATGTGAGAGTGTGCTGAGTAAGTTAAATGTATGATACAAAAACGAGATTTGTTGCCATCTGAACTGTCTCTTGTGAACTCTTAAAATGTTATTTTTCACACTGCAAGACATATGTGGCACAGCTATCCCTTAAAGCAGGTAAGGACAAGAAGAAGAAGGCCTAAAGATGTCCATTGACTCCCTTTCCACAAGCTCACACAGAAAAATACAAAGGAAATTAAATATCTGAAAATGTCTCCTCATCCATAAATTCTCACACACACATAAAGAAGTTATTATTAATGATAGCACTAATAAATAGTGCTAATCTCATGATGCTCTGCAAAGCAGTTGGAATGACTTCTGGAGTTTACAGGTTGGTTTCTGACAGTGTTGTCCTGACTAGTGTTTCTGAAGACAGTTCTCCAGGCTAACACTAATATAGATAGAATTTTTGAAGGCATATAGATTGTAAGCTCCCAGTGAATAGTAATCATAAATTTTACTTTTTCATCACTATTTCAGCCTACCACCATACTAAGCTTACAGTGAATGTTGAATAAAAATATTAAACTGAAACGAGTGAAATTTAACTGATTAGAAGAAATACATATGATGCAAGTTGAAACTATGTGTTGAGCCACAAGAATGGTAGGTTTGCATTGGCAATGTGCTAAAAATAATTGAGCGTGAACTGTCAATATGCTCAGCAATGGAGAGGAAGTGAACAAAAAGTAAACACTACAGTAAAATAATTCTAATAACCATCTTTTTCCTCTCTTCAATGTCTCTTACATTGAGGTTATAATTTTTTCTTTCAATAGGATCGTTTATTTCACAATTTGAGTATTCTCCTTAAGAGTTTATGCTCCCTTCAAACATGCTTTGCATGAGTTTTTACTCACATGACTCTTGTAATATCTTTCTGAGTACTGTATGCAAATCAACTTATTTTTTCCAGGGCAGTCACTAACATTACTATCCTCATCCAGGTTTTCTAACCTCCTATAGTTCTCAGATGTATATAGCATGCATAGGCGTGTACATTTGTATCAAATACTGTGTTATCTAGTGTGTTGTGTGTTTCAGTGTAGCCTTCCCTACTGATTGTAAAGTGTTTGAGGAAAACGTTGTCTTCACAACACCAGAGTACTAACTGCTTAGTAGAACTGTATTAGTAGATTGAGTGCCAGGTCCAAATTAAAAAAAAAAAAAAGGTAATTGATTATAACATCTTATTTTTCAGATTAAGTATACCTTCAGTTATCTAGATAATTTAATTTCAGGATGTATATTTGTGAAAATTTTGACTCACATAATTTGATCTTGAACATTCTGGAAAGATTCTAGTTTCTTAACATAAGAAAAATGGAAGAAAGTATTGGCAATCAAGTGGCGTTTGGTATCAACCCTCCTTTTGTCACACACAAATATTGGGCGTCAGTGCTCAGCAGCCTTGAGTCTGAGTATGTTATGAGTGTAGTATAAAGGGTTCTCTTGATAAAATAGAGAGTACGTATTTGGGAGAAATAAAAACAAAAACAAAACAAACAAAGTGCTTTGCTTCTTATAGCCTTCTATGGGTTCCCACTGGAGTCCTCCACAGGAGTTGATTAGACATTGTCATTAGTCCATCCTAGAGTAAAGCAGAGAATTTGCAACACAGAGAAAACTCACAGGTCCAGCAGAGTTGGATTTGAATCTACCACTGTTGGTGAAAATGCTAGGCATCCTAATGGGTGATTCAAAGTCAGCGTATACTCTCTCTCTCTCTCTCTCTCTCTCTCTCTTTCTCTCTCTCTGTTTCTCTCTTTCTTTCTCTCTCTTCATTCATCTAATCTATCTACTAAATTTTGGAAGTACTATGTTGAACTAATGAGGTGAAGACACCTAAAATTTAAACTTCGAAATGTAATACCAGTCCTGCCAAGAAATGACATATGAGTAGACTCAACCGTAACGTTATATTAATGGGAAAAGTCACAAAAAGGAACTATCTGTTTATTTTTGTTTTCTTTATTTTTGTCCCAATTTACCAGCTCATAACCAGTTTTCCTCACATTTGTGTCAGACCTGTTGTAAAGCCCAGTGCTAACGAACATTCTTTCATCACTCCTTCCTGGACAGAGCTAAGTAAAATATTTGTCTCTGGATCAGGAGTATGGCATCTTGTCATTGTTCCCTTCATTTTACCAAAGATACTGCATATTGTTGGCCCAAATTGGTTAGAAAGAACTTTCCAACTCACTGCTTTCTGCTTGTAGGATGGGATGGTACATACCGTTCATGACCAAATTGAAGTTTTATTTGTTGCATTATTGGTAGTTTTGAAATATGGTTTGGACAGAGCAGAGCATCTCTGACTGTCTTCAACACACTGGGTAATCACACCACTGCTCAGTAGGCTAAATTATTCTAAACCTTTAAAAAAAATAGCTTTTCTCCCTTCTGCAGGTTTTCCCAGGAACAATCTCCATGAAAACGACTCCTAATTTAAAGAAAACTAAAGCATTCCTCACCACTGACAAGGAAAATGGCTCTTTTTGGCCAAATCATAGAAATGAGCTTCCTTAAGTACATTGCACCTCTAAAAGCTGACATTATTGCCGCAAAGCCTGAATGGTACCTTGTCAGCATGGAATAACCAGACTGGGCCAAGTTGTCATTTCTGACAGGTCAGTGTAATGAGCAAAAGAACGCTGAGTTTGTCTAAAAGTTTTCACTTGCATCAGCAGGCTAGCGCTGTTTGGGGCGATAACAGCTCTACGTATGTGACTCATTAAATGTGTCACAGCATCAAACGGTGTGGCCCTATCACAGCCACCACATTGATGCTTTGTTTCCTCCCCCAAGAACCCCCCAGGAGTCTTTATATTTCTAATTTTAAAAGAGGACAGATTGAAGAGCTTTGAGGCATTGGATATTAACTGTGTGTGATTAGATGAATGCCAAATGTTCTGTCCCTTTCAAAACACATCACAAAGGTAAATATTAATCTAATTCAATATGGACTTCTCTCTGGGCACCTCCTTCCTCATTTCCTGGGATTTCTCTAGTAATATCTTTGCCATCAGAAAAACAGAGACAGAGAGAAAATAAGGAGAAAACATAGGAATTGAGTAAAATTGACATAAGATGGCCCTTCTGAATTATTGGGTGACATTTAATATCCAGGGTCGTCCTTTCCCTGTGCTGAGAAACTTGCACACAGATTTGCCCTTTGGATAGGAAGCACAAAGGCAGAGAAGCGAGAGCACCTGGATGCACGTTTCGTTGTCAATAGATAGCAAATCTTGAAGGTTTGGCTCCTTCCAGCGCACCAGCCAGCTGTGGTGCCCTCTCTTTAATCAGATGCACCAAACAACAGAAAACATTTTTCCCTCGCTTCAGAAAAATTCACTTAATGTTCGTGACTAATTAAATTCTCACTCTAGTCATGATTAATGTAACAAATAATTACAGCTTAGATCTAATATAGATACAACTAATTGTTCTGCCCACAGTGCATCGTGACTAACAATTAAACACAGCTTTTAAAGCAAAAGGAGGGAGAACTGAGGAGTGACCTTCACCTGGCTTGGCTCCCGACGACACTACAGTTTCTGTTTTCCTCTGCATTGCTTTAATGCTGCACAAAGGTTTAGTTTGTTTGTTTACATTTCTCTTTTATTAGACGTTATACAAGCCCTGTTCCTTTACTCTCTTTGCTGCTGGTCCAATCCGTGTGGGATGCTGGAGGTGGCGAGTGGAGAACTAGGAAAGAGAAATAGAGGGAGGTTGTAGTGACTGTATTTTCCCCAAGGATCAAAGTGCAAAAGCACCCTTTATATTGGCAAAGTGACAGTAGGGCACTGTCAAAGCTCAGGCTGCAAAGTAACAGACCTGGGCCACATGTCTGTCTGCGTTGGTACCTGCAAACCCCATTACATGAGAAGATACTCTTTTATTCTGTAGTCTGGAAGTGGAAAAGGCTGCTACTGAGTTGGGGGAGAGGTGTTGGGGTAGTCTGTGGCTATGCATTCCTGACCAGTGCAAACATTCGCAGAACCTGTGGGGGATTCTCACAGCATGAAGGAAATGTGTTCCCAGTTTCATTAAATATATGATTAAATTGATAACTGATAACTTCCCCACATGCCTCGTCTGCTTTGGCAAATAGAGGGCACATTGGATGCCCTGCTGAAAAATCTGCTTACACAATTAGTGTATCAAGTCATGTCTCTTCCAACTGTTTGCCCTCTCCTACAATAATGAAAATTCCTTTTGTTTTCAGGACATATTTAAGTGTAATTTATCTATATGAACTAAAATTCCAATAATTTAGAATGATGTGGAATCAGTACAAGTGCCCATCAATTCATGAGTGGATTAATAAAATGTGGTATATGTACACCATGGAGTTCTACTCAGCCATAAAAAATGGTGAACTAACACCTTTTGTAACAGCTTGGATGGAACTGGAGACCATTTTTTTAAGTGAAGCATAGCAAGAGTGGAAAAAGAAATATCACATGCACTCACTTGGAACTATTTGATCAATGCTTGTGTGCACATATGGAAGTAAAACTCAGCAGGAATCAAGCAGGTGGGAGAGGGGAGAATGGGATGGGTAAGTTCATACCTAATGGGTTTAATGCACACTATCTGGGGGATGGGCACACTTATAATTTTGACTCAAACTGTACAAAAGAAATCAATGTAACCAAAACGTTTGTACTCTTGTAATATTCTAAAAAAAAAAAAAAGAAAGAAACCAAAAAAATGCTCATGGAATGAAACTTCTGATTCATCTAACATTCAAATACAACTGTGCTTCAAACAAGACTTTTTTTTTCTTTGCTGTTACAAATATTTAAAAAATATCCAAGGCCATTTTTCTGACTTTGTAAAATCTAGTAGACAAACAGAATATTACTTTATTGTTTAAGAACTCACAGCACCTCAAATAGATTTGGGAGCTAAAACTGGAAAATTCTGTTTGTATCATTTACATAATTAATCTGACACAATTCCTCTAAATACCTTCGCAACTACATGATAATATTTTATATTATCAACACTAAGGTTCTCGCAAAAAAAAAAAAATATTTTATATTCATTGAATGTCTACCATGTGACTGGTTTTGAAGTAGTGATAGTGATTCAATCCTTTCTTTTTCTACCTTCACTGCATGAAGTACTTGTAATTCCTAGGAGCATTTAGTTAAACTAAATTCCAACTCAGGTCATGTAGGGTAAAGTTACTCATGCACAGCATAAATCTAACAAGGCAGACATTTCTCCTTCCCAACTCTCTCCTTTGGTGTTCTATCTTGTATAGCAAACTTTGCCATGACACACTTTTTGTTTAGCCAGTGATTTTTGGCCTACCTCTATGCTAAATTCCAGATAAATTCTGTCCCCAATAGTTTTAAAGCGATGGAATGAACACCAGAATCTAAGTGGTGGCAGTGATGCTGATAGTCAGGTAAAGAAATGATGTGTTACTTCCAGGATGGAAAATTTCTTGATTCATTCTTTCAGATGAATCCCATCTCTCTGACTCCATGTATGAGTTTTCACTCCTATCACTTCCCCAGTCTTCCATCTTCTTGAAGACTCAGACTCTGCCTGGTGCCAGCCAATCTTAGCATCCTTAAGCTTCAGTAACTCATGTCAATAAGGCTTAAAGAGTGTGTTCTGCAAACTAAATGACACCAGGTTTCTGGGAGGCTATAAATTCAAGGAGAGCCAATATGTCTTGCCATCTTTGTACCACCAATGAGCAGAGCACAGTGCCAGTGAGCTAGGAGGGGTTTAAATGACTTCATAAAGGATGAATGGATGAATGAAAGAGTGACTTCTGAAAAAGGGAGTTTTGTAGTAGATATTTCCTGTGATGCCCATGGATAACTTCCATGGTGGATTTCATGTGGCTCCATTATTCTGTGACCAGCACATGATTCCTCAGAAGCCCTCATTTTTAGAACTTTAGTATAAAGATTCTCATTTTGCAAGGGTCATTGGGTGGTTGCAAAGCCGACTCAAAATTTTCAAAGAAGATTGAATTTAAAAGTAGACTCAATATTTAATTTTTATAATTCAATCTTTTACACATAAAAATACTTTAATGAGAAATATGCATATTTACAGCTGTTATTCAAACATTTTAATCACCAAAGATACCCCTCCACATATGCCCCTACCTATATATCTAAATGTTATCAGTAACTAACCAGTAATTCTATCAGTAATTCTATCTAGCTTAAAAATACACAAAGTATTCAAATGCACTATTTGAACAGCATAATGATAAAATTCCAGCTTAAAGCAAAGTAACTAAAATGTACTTATTCTTTGCAGCTCCATTATGAATAAACATATGATTTATGTTAGACTTCTTGAAATATTGAAATTAACTTATAAATAGCATCTTCCTGTTGTCCATTATGATCTTGAAAGATTTTAAAAGGTTCTGGGGCTCTAGGTTAGGAAGAGAATCTATAAATGCATTGAATAATATAAAGGTGGATTTTTATGTCAAATCTTTACATATATATTTTTATACAAATATGTGTGGGCGATACACACTCACACATACATTTATATTTATATACTGTATTTTGGAAATATTGCTTGGCTGCTCAAACTCTGAGATTTCCTCTGACCTCTTCATTTTCATTCGGTGTAGACTCTTTTAGATTACTGAAACCCATGACAAAGAAAAATTGGATTTTCTTAATTTTAGAAATTACTAAAGAAATTTTGTAATCTTCACTTCATTTGAAGGCAAAGAAATGATGTTCGTATCTTGACATATTTATCAGTTGTATGCTCCTTTCAAGACGGCTTTCTGGGAGAGTTTAATTTATAGCTCCTATTATTTTGTTTTTCTTTTTAGAACTCAAAATGAATGTCAGGCCCATGAAAACCACCAGACAGGAAACTAAAGTCTTGTGTTTATTCCAAGTCCCTAAATCACCATGGGACTGGAGGGAAGTTGTCTGCAGGAGGCTGGCTTTGTCAAAAACATTGATAAGAAAACAGAAAGCAGAGGTTCCAATGGCAGAACAGTTACTCTACATTCACTTCATAGCATGGATTTTTGAAGACAGTGGTATCATGGCTGTAATCTCAAAATGCTGTTTGAAATATACCATTTCTCTCTACCTTTCAAAGCCTGCATTTCTTCCCTGTACTAATGTTCGGCTTTGCTCAGATCCACCGGTTTCACCCTTCAAATGAAGCTCGTGTGTTGCCAAATCTGTTCTTTCGTTCAGAAGGCACAATCCAGACACCCTCTTCTTTCTTTCCTAACCTCTCTGCATCCTTATAGACTCTGAAGCTTAGTTTAGTTTTCCTCAGTTCTGGGACACCTTCATCAATCAATGTCCATTCACACTCTTACAGTGCCGTGGTTTCTGTAAGAAGTCTTCACCCACAACTGCCCATGAGAATGTGTAGAGGATAATCATGTCTAAGCTCAACCTAGACCAAATATCTTGGCTTGGAAAATTAGTTTCAGTATGTTTTAAATGTGCCACAATTGAACACAAGTTGAGTATCCCTTATTCGAAATGCTTGGGACCAGAAAGTTTTCAGATTCTGAATTTTCTTTTTTCTTTTGTTTTGATTTTGGAATATTTACACTATGTGTAATGAAATATCTTGGAGATAGGATGCAAATCCAAACACAAAATTCATTTATGTTTTATATACACATTACAAACTTAGCTGGGAGGTAATTTTATACACTATTTTTAATAATTTTGTGCTTGAAACAAAGTTTGTGTTCACAGAACCATCAGAAAGCAAAGGTGTATCATTATCTCAGACACCCATGTGGACAATGATTGTTTGTCATCACCACCATTCCTCACTCTTAATTAACATGCTACCAATATGCAATCATTTCTGTACACTTGTTTTCACATAAATCCTTAACAGCAAAAATATGACATACAGTTAATACAGTGAAAAAATAACGTGTTCACAGTAACTAAGTGGCATGGTAGCACCACATGAATACCTGTATCAGCTGTTAAACAATAGCAATAGCAAACAACAACAGGCTTTCAGTCTCTACCTGTGATGCTGTGTTTTGATTGAAAGCTTACTGTACAATCTATTTTGATTTTCTGAGTTAGAAGAAATATCAGAAGCAGTTCAGGAACCAGGAAGTGGAGGCCCTAGGAATGGGGAAACTTTCTGCTGGATGGTTTTTGAAAATGTTTCCTCCAGTCATCAGCTTAATTAGCAGCAGATTTTGTCTTAGAAATCTTTGATTTTATACACCGTCATGGTTTTTTTGTTCTGTTGTGAATTCATGGTGCTCTAGTCTTTCAATAAGCCCATTACACATTTATACCATTTTTATCATGTAGATAAGAATAGTGAGTGATTCATACATCATGAATGATCATCATGATCACTTTGATTGAGAACCATTTTGTCTATGTGACCATCAATCAATAAATAAACAACTGGAGACATGTTATCAGTGTTAAAAATTTCTTTAGTGTTAATTTCTTCCAGCTTACTGCTAGACTCTGAAAGTATATATTTTTTGCATATATAAGGAGGTCAGACATCTTGTTTTGTGCTTAAGTGACTCCTTCAAAGACACCACCTTGTTCATCATCATCACTGAACACAGTTGCGGTCCAGAGGTTGTGCCAGGTGTGCATAGCCGTATCTTTATTACAAGAGTTGGCAACAGTGTATATGGTATCCTTCACACCAGCCTTCTTTTGAAAACCTACTACACCAACATCTCTGTTCACTGCTGCCAGCATGCTCTTCCATGATCTTTAAGAAAGTGTTTTTATATTTATTCCTCATTGATATAAGGATACCTTGGTCACATGGCTGAATTAATGAAGTCACATTTGGGGGGTGGGGGGAAGTACATGGCAGAATCATTATTTTTAATGAGAATTTCAGCTGAAGGATGAGCAGAAAAGTTGTCAAGCAATGGCAAATTCTTGCAGTCATCATTCAGTCCAGCTTCCCTGCAGTGAGCACAAGCCCCTGGTTACAAAATGTGTGTGAAACCAATCAGAAAAAATGTCACTGGTGATCTATGCCTTTTTTGTCAGCATAATAATGAACTAGCAAGTAACCCATTCCATAATAGCAGCAAGGACGCAAACTTCCAACTATCACAGTATGTTAACACTGACGCATGCCTGCTGCATTAGCACATCCCAGCACAGTGTTCTGTCCTTGGCATCCTAAATTCCTGGAGGGCCATTTCATCTGTCCTATGCATGTCTTTGTGGGACAGTAACACCAAAACAGTAACATTTCATTGGCATAGTACACTTGTTCTAGCATCAGATTTTATCAGAAAACCTTAACAAACTCAGCAATGAATGTTTATACTGCTTCATGATCAGCAGATGCTTTATTTCCACAAGTTTAAAGAATTTAATGCTGTATCTTTTTAAAAATATCCACAATAACCATCTTGTTGAATATTTACAGTTCCCCTCAATTTTCAGTCTGTGATAGATCTTTGCCTGTTTCCTGATCAGTATACCATCGGGTGGCATGTGTTCACTGCAACACTGATGAATCCACTCTTACAACACACAATCAAGATCATCAGTTTTAGCTTTATGCTGGTTTTTTTCTATTTTTAATTAACTTCTGTTCATCACTTTCAGTAAAGAACTTCAATAATATATATTTCTGTTTTTTCAGGATCCTTCATGGTGGTCATTCCATCACCATGTTCTTCTGTAAAACATTTCACACTTACACTGCTTGTCCAGTTTCTCCAACAGCTTGACTTTCTCTGCTATATAAAGTCTCTTTTTCTTATCACTGTTACCCATAGGGGTATTTGCAGGCCTTTTTGAACTTTTCTTGCAATATCTTTGTACCACAGAGCAGAGAATAAGAAAACAAACTCAGTGGGTAATGCACATAGGTCTTGGCCCCATGTGATGCATTGTGGGGGATTTGCCATTAATGCACCCAGCCTGTGCACACGCCATTTTATTACCCTTTGTGGGCATGCTTGCAGAGGGGAATCTGGGTGTGTGTGTATATATTTTAGGGGGCTAGAGGGGGCTGAAATGATATTTTTTCACCTTAGAAGCAATGAATAAATTGTGTGTTGAGCATTTGTATTTTGACTGCTACCCATGCTATGAGGTCAAATGTGGCATGTTGCTTTTTTGGCATCATGTTGGCATTCAAAAAGTTTCAGGTTTTGGAGCATTTCAAATTTCATATTTTCAGATTAAGAATGTTAATTGTTTGTTGCTGAGTGTGAAACCTATTGATCCATACTTATTTTTATATTCACCTATAAGTTGAGATAATTGCAATAATGTGCACATATATATTTAAAATACACACACACACATGCTCATAAATATATTTAAGCTTTTTTTCATTTTGGAAGCAACTCATTCTTTAAGCAGATATCAGCAAAGATGTCCTGTATAACCTAGGGTAAAGGAGAGTTCATCTATGCAAAATGGTGAAAAGGACTCAGGGATTTACTCTCTTGTCTCCTTTCTTCCCCACCTTTCCGCCCATCCATTCCTTTCCTCTTTTCCAGCAGCCACTGATGCATCAACAAGCCCCTCCACCCCTATCCAAAAGCACAAAAAACATTTAAAATTCAATACTTCGTTAAAATGCTTTACAATCCAATATCCTATGATTTACTTTTATATCTATACTGTGGTTACCATATACTAAAAACTTAGCAACCCAATGAGAGGACAAAAAGTTGCCTGAGAGTT